TGATTAATGGAATGGCAAGTAAAAAAAAAGGGAGGAGGGAAGGCGGGGGGAATGGAAATCACTATCACACAAAGAAAGCACATGTGGAAAACTTTTTTTTAAAAAAGAGATTTCGGTGAGGTGCTGCCTGACTTCTGGAATGGCGATCCGTGCACATGTCAATTATTTTGGGAGCTGTAATCGAGAAGACTGATATCGCCACAAGCTTCCACAAATCTGATGAGTGTATGACATTTCTATGTGCACAGTTGATTTTCTCTTCTGTTCGCTAACGCGCTTCATGTGTGTGTGCTTCAATGCAGCCTTCGTCTTGCAACGTGCAATTTATTTGACTTTTCGGTCTTATGATTACTGTCATTGTTTATATGTACATGTTGGGAATCAATAAAGTTCAGACGCAGACATTGTGAAGAAGTGCGGTCACTGTCTAAGTCAGTCGTAAGTGCTGAAACATCAGACTGATGACCCAAAATTCAAACTCTGTTCTGTATGATACCGATTCAATTATCAATTCCTGAGAGCACCTCGATTGACAATGCCGTGCCGGCTCCAAAATAAACGTCTGACACCATTTCCATCAACTTGTGACCCGAATCAATTAACATTCAGGCCAAGATTAATTTTCAACCCGAACCTTCCATGATAAATTACGGCAGGTTGGGATGACTGCGTGTCACAGCCAAGTGGCACTGTCTGTCAATCATATGCTAAGATATGTGCTGAGGTAGAGCACTCGTTATATATTTTTTTTCGCCCCCTCCCCCTGTGGGTCGTGTCCTCGGGGAGAGATCAGAGACAGAGAGAATTACACATGTCAGCACCCTATCAGCTGCCAGGAAGAGGTGAACTTGATTAATAATCGTCAAGGGCACTCAAGGTCAGTCCAGAGTTCACTATTGCATCTAGACCTTATACTGTACTGTTTGGCCTCGCAAAACAGACTGCTGGCATGCAAAAAAAATAAAATAAAATAGAAACATCGGTATGACTAGCATCGATTCGCCTGGACTTACAACGGAGGCTTATACATAGATGACACTTTTCAAAACGGAAGAGAAAATCTATGCTCGATTGCGATTTAAGCACGTCAACCAGAATATGTAAGGCAAAGGATCCTTACAAGGGAGGGGATTAGGAAGACAGACAGTACTACAAGGTGTGAAACCTCACGGGCGGGTTTGAATATTCCCACAGAGAGAGGGAACGAGACGTAAAATCGATCATCTCATTTCTTTTCCTCATATGAAAATTACAAATAAGGTTAAGCCTCAAATCTCAAATTTCATTTCTCCTTCAGACACCTTGAAAATAATCCCATCTCTGATCTGTTAGTCCTCGACATTAGAAACGCCGCCTTCTGGGAGGGACCGCTAAAAGAGTGAGAATGCAAGGCGCAACAAACAGAATGCATGAGAGTCTTGGGGAAAATAATGAGCACTTTCCCTCGCAAAGGGACGAAAGGGCTTACAAATTTAATATTCTAGCTCATATTGAAGAAAAATCAAATATGGTCCTTATAGATGTCGACACCATTTTAACATTGCGCCTAACTATGACCACCCCATCCATTCAATTCTGTCCATCTGTTCGGGACAGCGGATGAATCGAGGATGCCCAGACTTCAGCTTCCCTCGTGTCATTGGGAGAGGCGACCTCGGCCTCCTCTTAAATAGATGCCCGAGCCACCTCAGTTTGGTAACTCCAGACAGGGCCTGCTGCCCACCGACCTGCAGGTGATGTGTCATTTGTGAGCTCCTGCCTTTCGAAGGCTGAAGCTCCGGTGTCCCACATCCAACCAAGATATATTTTCTTTCCGTCCTGATTTCCACGGGAGTCTCACTCACTCTACTTTGTCTACGCACATCCAGTAAATTATACTAAAAATTAAAAGATATGAGCGGGAAAAAAAACGGCAAAATGGACTCCTTACCAGTTGTGTTTATTGAAAACGAAAAAAGGAGTTACCTTTCCTCACAAATATGTCACACTTTTATATTTATTATTACAAGGTGAAAAATTGCTGAATGTTGATACTCTTATTTTGGTGAAGCCCTGGCCGAATGTTGATACTTTTATTTTGGTGAAGCCCCAAAAATGATGCGCTATCTGAGCCTTGACTTCGGGCTTTGGAGCCAGAAAAAAATAGTATGATGTTACTTGAGCTATATTCTGGAGTTACTGAACAAAATAAGCCTCGCAGCTCAAGAATAGCAAGCACGTTCACCCCAAAACACAAAGCAGACATACAGCAGCAACCTTACGAGTAGACCTTTGAGCGCTTTACAACACGTGAGGTGACCGAGCAGTCCGGGCTTCCTACCTCACGCGCCTCGTGATGTCGAAGGAAGAGGATGTGGCAGCAGACGTTGTTCTCCCATCTTTCGACAAGTTGTGTGTCTTGGCATCAGTGCAGTGCAGTGCAGTTCTTGACTGTCATTCATGTGTGGATGCGTCCGCTCACTCGGCTGCGTCCTCACCGATAATACATCCAAATCAAGGGTGTGAGTTCATCGTAGTTTTAAAAATTTAGGTGCGTAACAGCAGTAGTTGGGTAACTGTGGTCCTCGAGAGTCGCTTTCCTTCCAGTTTTAGAGGTTTTTTTTTTTCCCCACTCCAAACTGGTCAGCTCAGCAAGTTCCGTCGAAGCCTGACAACCATACTGCTCATTTGCATCAGGTGTGTTGGAGGAGGAAAACCCCCAAAACAGGCAGGACAGCAGCACCTGAGAATTGGGGCGTCATTTCCCGAAAATGCTTAGAATATGCTTTGAATTCGTTCCCACGACTGAAATTTAGAGTATGCATGAGCACACCAAAAACAAAAATCCGTAATTTTATGATATTTTATAATCGCACCTGTTCGAAACGATCACGCCTGCGCACGTCTGGCCTCATTTACATGGGGAAATACCATTTGTTGACCACAAAGAGGGCGGAGGGAATCTCCGAAACCGACAATGACGTATTTGGTTTACACTGCATTTGAAAACAACAACAAACATTGTTATGGAACAATTAAGGCACGTGATACCAATAAAAGAAGGAGGAAACACACACACACACACACACACACACACACACACACACACACACACACACATTCCGCAGAATAGGACGAGCAAGTTATTTGGATCCCGGTATTGCAAACTGGGCACACGTGACATCACTTCTTTAAATGCGCAGCAAGCACGCCTCATATTATTAATCTGAAGCGACGAGCGCATATCCACAGAGCATTTCTGTAGAACGAATGAATCGTGCGTGGATTCCCTCGGGTCATGTAGATTGCAGATTATTTGTGCATTGATTGAATTAAACCATTTCCTGTTCATGTAGTGGAATTCGTTGTGCGATTATGCTTTCAACAAATGTGAAAGTGTCACGGTCAGAGCTGTGTGTAAATTGACACACGTCCTGACTCACGAGTCCAAGGCTCTGTCCAAATGTGCACACCATTCCCCATATAGCACACTGTTAAGGGGTTCCTGTACTCTATTTTTTAGGGGTGTCCTAAAGTCCGGGCAATCAAAATTACGTACAATGCACTTGGAAAAAGTGCGTGCATCAAAGTTCACGCCAATTGGTTAATATAGGCCACAATGCATTTACCAGCAGGAAATTGACATGGTGCTTCATGCAAGCACGAATATCAGAGATACAGTGACGAGACACAACGCAAACAATTCAAATGTGTTTACTTTTACTTCATTGAAAATATGTAAAACAACGGAAATAAAATAGTTTTAAAATAAATAGTTTTCATTCACAAGAAACAGAGGTCTCAACGTGCCGGTGCGTCACGTAATATGCGACGGAGTCGCTCCATTTCATGAAGACGTCAACTGAAGATGACGTCACATCCTTGACGCGCGTCACAAATGCAATTTATAATCGTCAGAATGCAGTACTTATGATCAACACAAATGTCTACTTCATGCTTTGTGTTTCAACTAAGATTAAATTAAAGACAAATAACCACAGTTACAATTCACAACTTTGTAGATGCAAGGACTACCCTGATTGGTCTTTCACAAATGCATTGAAATGTTACATTGTCTGTACAATTAATACTGCATACATTTTATGATGGTGACAGATGGAATTAATTCACTTTTTTAAGGGATTTTTTAAAATAGATATATATAAATTATAAATTTGGGTTGTCCACCAGCATCAACAGATTCCATGTTTGGATGAGTGGAAAAATATTCCATATTGTCTCTCCCTGTATTGAGAATAAGTATGTAAGGTACAATAATTGCCCAAACATTCCTCAGTGTACGTGTCTGTCGCTAGTTTGGATGTGAATCAAACATTCTAATTCTTACCAGCCTTGCATTTTCCCACAGCCTTGTGGATATCTGTGTTCAGAAGGAGGTTGTAAAGCCCTGCTGATCAAGCTTGCCATTAGATTGTAATCAGTCCACGTCAACCAGCCTATTATTCGTTCAAGCTCCGTCGCCAGGAGGATTTTATTGTACTGTTCTCTCAAACTATGCCGGTTTTCAGGGGGGGTTTGCAGTTGCGCTTGGAGCACCTCGAGCGCACAGTTTAACATACACACACTACAAGCTTACTGATTTACAGCAGCGATAGCAGCATATTTCCCACCTTCCCTCCCCAATGTGTGTCTGTGTATAAATGAAATGGGGGCATATACGGACCCTCATTCATCTGGCTCATCTAGCCAACGTGAAAAAAAAAAACCCTCAAAGTTCTCCAACAGCAGCGACTCTGATCAATGGCCTTCAATTTCTTGAAATAATTGCACAAAAACACACAGCCCACGTTATTAAACTCGAAAACGATTTTGACAACAAACATAATCATGACTCACAAAGGAAACAAAGCATGGCCTCTGTAAATTGAATGATTCCACAAATATTGCGATTTTTAACATGCATAATAAAAAGTGCGACATGGAATTTTATGAGACACAATATGGTAGCGTCTGTAATACAACGACATGGTCACAAATGTTCCGAATGTGCCAGAATAAACTTTTTTAACTACACTTGCAGCCAACCACCACCAGTCATTATTTTGCTGATATATTAAAAATAATGGTTGATTTTTCCATATCACCCCAGCTCCACTAATGGACACGGTTGTTTTCAACGTTAGCTTTTTTGTGTTTGGTTTGAGGCCATGTGACAGCTCATTTTATATGAACCGGTAAATATCCATACGATTTTTATTCACACTAATGAGCAGCAGCTCATCAGATCTCGACCATGTTCTGTCTTCACATTTCAGGTAATTAGCCCTCTCTTTCCCATAACTATGACACAGAGCTGCTTGCAGCAGAGAGGGACCATCGGATGTTATTAATCCATGAAAAAAATGAATAGAATAAATAATTACTGAAATGGAAGAAGGTACGTTTTGGCAGGAGTTTTCTTCACCATTTATCAACGGTCAGGTTTGTTTTTAAAAGCACATGAAAAAAAAAAGTGAAATGTTTTCTTAATTAAAAGCAAAATCCTAAACATAGAAATGGGGTGTACATTTATTAAAGGGAGTTTTGGAAATAAATCATCCTCTAGCGTCTCATAAAATCTGCTCTAGTTTTTAAGTTCAGTGCATCTAACGCATCATTTACAACAAATGTGACTACTAATATTAATGGGCTGTTTTGGGCCCATCTCGGTACTTTTCCAACGCAAAGATGATGAATGGGAAGAAACTCGCGCTTGTGAGGAAGAACGTTGTCTGTAGTAATTCCATCGGCAGCGTTTGTACTGCGTGTGGATGGGCGGGTGGTTTGGTGTGTGTGCACATACCCACGCGTGTGCATAGACGTGCACGCGTCCCGGTAGGGAGATGTAGATGAGTTTTCTCCGTGCTGAAGTGGGGGAATGGGCTGCGGTTGGCTGACCCGCCTGCAGACCAGTCTGTGGGAAAGAACAACTTTTTAAATTACCCATACATCACTGTCAACGGCAGCACAGACGAGGGTGACAGTGCTGTGATCACAAGCGCGCTCACACATAGCTCGCCTCGCTTAACGAACTCAATCGCAGCTTTGTGTGTGCGCGCGGGCGCGCTTCTCCGGGTGACACAAATCTAAACAATTAGAATTTGAAGACTCCTTTTGAAGCTGTAGTGTTGACTGCAGAGCCTTCACCAGCTGGCAAGACTTTTTTTTTTCCTCTTGCTCTTTTTCCTGTCATTTTCCTCCACATCTTCTCCTCTCCCCCCCTCCCCTGTTTCTCCTCATCTAACAAGATGAATCTTGATTGCGGGTAATTAAACTGCTCATGGATTACAAAGTGGGGAGAAGTACTAGTAGCATATGTTTCGGTTTGTGTTAAAATCCTGAGCCGTTGCAGGGCTCGACGCGATCGAGGGTGACGATTCTCGGCATGTCACTTCATTACTTCTCTGGTTTGTCTTCTCACTCAAATTAGAATCCGTGGATTTATTTTTTTGGGTGAGGGCATGTCAAACACACGTCGCATATACAATACGCGCGCTCTGTAACAAGCAGCATATGCATCTTATCAGAGCAGATTGTCCGCTTCGGTGTTTGAGAGGTTATTACAATAGATGTGCAGCAAAGGAAGCATGATGTAATGAGGCAGACTCACACATCCAGCCGGGATAGGCTCCACCAAACCCTAATGAGGACCAGCGCGACGGAAAATGGATGGGTGGAAGGACGCGCAATCTAATGAAATCCAATTCAAGAGCTTGACACATAATGATCTCTTAATTTCTTGAGATACCTTTGAACAGGTGATCCATAATGAGTGTTGTTCCGAATATTTTATTTGGGGCTAAATTAGGGAAGCAACCTATCAGAAGCCGCTCTCAGTGTAATGCAGCGTAGCAACGAGCGACTGGGCATCCATCCATTTTGTACCGATTATCTTCAGTGTCACAGGTGAGCTGGAGCCTTTCCCAGCTGAGGCTTCAATATGTAACTTACCTCGCATGTTTTTTGGAATCAAATCCAGAACGAACCACATGTCACACTGAAAACTTCAACGACATTATTAAGCGTTCTTAAATGAATACATTTCTAGTCCTGACATGGAAATGAAGCTTCATGAAGCACTTGTGATATTTTTTACTCCTCTTGATGGTTTTCTTGTTTTAAAGATAAGACTATCCATCCATTTTCCGATCCGCTTTATCCTCACAAGGTTCACGGGGCGTGCTGGAGCCTATCCCAGCTGTCTTTGGACCGTAGGGGGCGGGGGGGGACACCCTGTACCGCTTGTCTGCCAATCACAGGGCACACAGAGACGAACAACCATCCGCGTTCACACTCACACCTACGGACAATTTAGAGTGTCCAATCAGCCTGCCAGGCATGTTTTTGGAATTTGGGAGGGAACCAGAGTACCCGGAGAAAACCCAGGAAAGGTACGGGGAGAACATGCAAACTCCACACAGGAAGGCCGGAGCCGGATTCAAACCCACGACCTCTGCATTGTGAGGTCGACGCGCTAACCACTGGGCCGCCCACCACACATCAAAAAGACCTTAAAAAAATACAGTCAATAAAAATACGGCATGGAACAATGATATATGTTTATTTTTTTTGTTTGAAGAAGATGACTCTAAACTGGCAATCATTTGCCATTATCATTTTATTATACTGAAATAGAACGTAAATCCAGAATCACTGAGGCCAAATCTGAGGTTAGCTTCAGTGGAGTATTGGTGCTACCTGCTGGTAATGCATAGTAGTGTCATTCCAATTTGCTTCAGTTCTTTCTTCTTCATTCATTTTCATCTGTTCGTGTTGTTCAATTATTCATACTGAAGATTTTGCTTTGGGCAAAGAGAGAATTTGATCATGCCAGCGTGAACCCTTGATTCATTGCTTCACTCCTCTGCCAGGAACTGAAATCCTGGACCTTCAACACATGGGGTCATGTACGAGTAATTCTCTTTATGAGTTGATAAGATAAGATGGTGCATCTTTGAGGTGTCGTAAAAGCAGACTCAGACTGATGGTAATCTGCCTCTTCTTTTGACACACTTGTGTGAGCATTACTTTTGTAGAAGGCGTCATACAATTAATTTCTACACTTAAAGCCAAGGCCAGATGAGTGATCGGCCACTCTGAGCCTTCCACTTTTGAAGGTTTCATCCTTCGCTTGTGCAGGCCAGACATCATCATGCATTTGTTCTGCGTGGTTATCTTGGGACTGATTGTCAGCACTCCTTCTGCTGCAGCCCCGTTAGGAGTTTTTGTTTCTGGGCTGCCGTCTGTCCTCGGTAGAGCAACTCGGAACAAGCTACTGCTCATCTCCTTCGATGGTTTTCGCTGGGATTACGACCGAGATGTGGACACCCCTAATCTGGATCAAATGGCCCAAGATGGCATAAAAGCGGAATATGTCACGCCACCTTTCCTCACCATCACCAGCCCCACACACTTTACCCTGCTTACAGGTATGTGGAAAACGCATTTTCATAAACCATTTATGAAGAAAAGTCAGACTGCTAGACAATCAATAATACAAATCGAAATAATAAATAAGAATAATTTTAATTGATTAAATTATTCTGAGGACCAACCTATAAAGACAAAGCATATTTTGCAGTAAATATAATTTTGCAAATCCAGTTAAATACAATTTTAAAATTAGGATCATGCATTTTATTTTGAAATTAGTTGGTATTTTGAATTACATGAAAACGCAAGTTTACAGAAGGGTTCTGATAGTTGGGGATTTTTTTTTTACTAGCAAGTTTTCATTTCATTTTGACTTTTGTTCAATTTAGTTAGTTTGAATTTGTTTTTTTGAGCAAGTTTGTGAGTTTTTAGTTGTTTCTAAAAGCCTCATTTTAGATTAGGTTTGATTAGTTTTAGTTTGAGATTTAGTTTCTTGTAATATTTGGAGTGTTTGTCAAGTGCAAGGTTAAAAAATAAAAAAAACGGGAAAGTGAGTATTCTAAACGACAATTCTCAAACGATTGTTTGACTTAACACGTATGTACGATATTCATTGAAAAGATGAAAAGGAAGAACACAATCAGGATCATTTTAATTAGTTTTGGAAACATAAGATGTAGTTTCGGTTAATTTCTATTGGTTGAATTTCATTTTTTTTTCAATTGTAATTGACGTTATTTTGTTAGTTTTCCTTAACTGTGTTAACTTTGGTGCATAGTACGGTATAAATATAAAAAGTATGAAATGAAATATTTTCTATAATGCACCACCGTGGGGCAAATTTGGAGCAGTAGCAGCGCATGCAGACCCTCCAGGCTCCAATTTACTGAACAGCATGGCAGCCGCAGTCAATATTGACAAGCAGGGAAGCTACATTTGTATGCAAGTACTGTCTCTGAGTTGACACAATGTGGATGTATTTTTTTCTTGCCAGGGCGCTATATAGAAAACCATGGAGTCATCCACAACATGTGGTTCAACACGACGACTCAGGAGAAGAAGCAGTACTACATGACACAGTTTGTTGATTCCTATTGGGACAACGGCAGCTTGCCCATCTGGATAACAGCACAGAGACAGGTGCATTGTCGAACTGAATGGCTATCGGATCCCACAAACGTAGACGCAAACAAAATCCGCACCAAAATATGAATTTAATAGGAAAACGCACCTACAAAGTATAAAGAGAAAGAACCAGGAGAATGATACTTTTGACAAAAAGCACTTGCATAAGGCAAGGTAACACAGAGAATACAAATGAATAACGTCCAATTTCACGAAAACCAAAGCATGAACAAGATCAAAGACAAAAAAACATAAATACTTACAAAGCGGGAGACTAGAGCGCAAAAACGACGAGATCGAGAAGTCTCGAAAACAACACTTGAGCAATAGCAGCAACAAGGTCAATAATCCGACAAGAGACGCGGGATCTTGGCAGTCCTTAAATACATTGGCAGCAGGTGTGCACGCTGGTGGAAAGGCCCTCCACTACCTAATTTTCATACTTTGATCCTCATTTAGGGACTAAAAGCTGGCTCACTCCATTTTCCTGGGACCGCTGCAACCTACAAAGGAGAAACTGTCAGGGTGAGAGAGGTGGAACCTCGTTTCTATGACTATTCAAACGAGACCGAATGGAGGCATAACATCGACAAGGTGATTGGAGAATGGTTCCACCAGCAGGACCTGGACTTTGTCTCCTTGTACTTTGGGGAACCAGACAAAGTTGGCCACAAATATGGACCCGATTCTCCGGAACGGCGAGAGATGGTCCAGCAAGTGGATCGAACTGTAGGGTACATCCGGGACAAGATCCAGTACCACGGTCTAACTGACCGACTCAACATCATCATCACTGCTGACCACGGAATGACAAATGTCTTTCGGGGTGAACAAGTTCAAGAGATCATCCTGTCTAAGATAGCAGGCTTTAGCTTTAGAGACGTCAAATTTCATCTTGTGGATTACGGCCCGGCTGGGATGCTGCTTCCTAAAGAAGGAAAGCTGGAGAAGGTCTACCAGGCTCTAAAGGGAGGTCACCCTCGTCTTCACGTGTATAAGAAGGAGGAGATGCCAGAAAGGCTTCATTACGGAAATCACCCTCGACTACTTCCCATCATCCTCTTTGCCGATCCTGGATATGTAATCAATGGGGTGAGATTATATTGCTGACGATAATACCATGCACATATGAGTGTGAATAGTTATGTATTTTTTTCCTTCCCACCCAAATATAGCTATTTCCTGTGCAGTTTCACAAAGGAGAGCACGGCTTTGACAATCAAGTGTTGGACATGAAACCTTTCTTTCGGGCAGTGGGACCTGACTTCAAGCAAAACCTGGTGGTTGGACCCTTTGAAACAGTCAACGTGTACCCACTGATGTGTCATCTGCTTGGGATAGATCCAGAGGTCAACGACGGGCACCTAACTAATACCAAGCACATGCTGAAAAAAACAGGAGAAGCCAATTACGGTAAGTGATCTGACAAAGAGAATCCATTGCATTCTGCCTGCCGTTTTCAAAGTGTGAGGTGTGCTTCCCTTGCCGTCCACTCTCCAAGTGCCCCCTTGGCAGATCTCTGATCTCCCTAGCGAACTTGACATCATTCGCCATGACAAAGACTGCGCCTCTTTTAAAGGGAAAGAGAGAAGCATCTTCAATTGACAGTGACTGTGTCGACTGTGTTCACGCCCACAGCGGCGCCACATCACCGTTTTTAACTGTGATCAAACGCATGTATCTGCAAATATAGCAAAACCTGGTCCAGCCTGCTTTTGCGCAGATTAAAACTGCACTGGCCACAAAAATACTTCGCTCCTGCTTTTTATGTGATTGCACTTCACATAATTTCCAGTGTGGGAATAACTTCCCCCCAACACACACTAATGCACAAAGCGCCGAAGAAAAGTAGCATTCACAATGTCCCACATTATTTCATGCATTATTTGATGCGATTTGAATCTGTTGCATGATGGTGCTGGAATGATGCCTGGTTATAACAAATGGAAGCAAAATAAATTGAGAAATATTTGTGGGAGACGTAGAATATTGCGAATGCTTGAATCTGCACAGCGATACAATTACGGTGACACGAAAGCTGAAATGTTGCCAGCTCGACTCTTATCAAGAAGCCTGTGTGCTGAGATAAAAGGGTTACCGTGTGCTAATCTGGATCTTTCAAGTGATTCATAAGATCCTCAATTTTTTGTTTTGTTTTGTTTTCTGCCCGCAGGTGAAAAACGCACTACTTGGTCACAAATTGTCACTGGCTTATCAGCAGTGACAGGGTTTCTGGCATTGGTGTTTGTCGCAGTTATCTCGCACACCCTGAATAAAAGGAACTCAGCAAGGAAGAGGTGAGTGCAACTGGAGTAATCTGAAATCCAAGGTTTTTTTTTTTTTTTTTTTTAAATTTGCGTATAAATAGGCCGTTCTTGAAATCCATGTTTCCAATATTATTTTTCTGGTTTATGAAACGCCATTTTGTAGGCATCAGCATGCCCCAAAAACTCATCATATTTTGCAAGTCAGTGGATCCTGTTAAATATTTTTTGTATTTGTAGGGCTCACAAGCACCCCAATTCCTTTAATAGCAGCCCCCAGAAAGTTTGAAAAGTTACACTGATCGGCACAAAATTTGGCATTTGCAATTCCCACACTCATGCTCCCGACTGTGTTTGCGCTTCTTTCAGGTCAAAACAGAGGAAAACTGCCAATGCAGAGGAAACCAAGAAGCAAACCAGTTTTTGAGCAATCACATGGACATCTGTGTTTAATTTTACTGTTTTGCATTGCATGAATTAACCCTTGCGCAGTTTCATATCATAGGAGTAAAGTGCATCATAATCAATTCTAACCATAGAATCAATTACTTTTTCAAGGAGTGACTTATTAATTACAAGTGGAGGATAAAGTACGTCATTCATGTTTTTGCTTTGGTTTTTTGCATGCATAGCAGATGTACTTGCTGACATTCCATAACATCACAGAAAAATGATAGTTGTTTAGTGACTCCAATGACTTCTTGGCAGGACTTATCGACCACTTATCTCGTTATGTCTTACCTCGATAAAGCTTATCAAGAACATAAAAACAGCCCTCCTATAGCTTCATCGAGATTGCAAAGTCCAGGTCTTTATTGAATCCACGTGTGAAAGGTCTTAATTCATTTTACATTTTCATAAAACGATGACATCACAGACACGCCCAGGGCATGCACTCACGACAACTCTCCCTTGCTCCCGTGTGTACGTGTGTGGATTGGATCTGTATGTTTCTGCAGACCTCCCCCAAGGCCAAACTGTATCATGCCGAGAGATAGACAAATAGATAGATAAGCAGATGCACTGGCTTGCGCACGCCTGCAAAAATACCAGCACTCGGTCTAACCTGCCTCTGAGCACAGTTAGACAGTTTACCGCACTAGAATGGCATTGGGCACGATAATAGAGCCCCAACGGTTTCAGTAGTGTGACATGAGCGAGGATTATGCTAACACCTCAAATGGATCGACCAAGCCAGGCTGAAGAAGAAAGGCCTAAGAATGCACAGCGTGTGCAAAACACTGACGGAACTTGTCAGTTATTGTGTGATAATCTGATACCAGATCATTTTGGCATTTTCTAAAAACTTTCTAAAAGTAGGGCACACCTTGGTGAATTTGCCATCTGGCCACTCACCAATTTCTTGACTGAAAGCGTAAGAATGTCAGATCTTGAAAGAAGATGATCACGGATCATTGTGGCTGAGCCAGAGAGAGACCTACTTACAAAAAAATAGAACATTGTGGCTCTTCTTTCAAGGCCAATACCATTGCTCTTTAGTACAGCCATCATTTCATCTCTCTCTCTCACACACACACACACACACATACACACACACACACACACACACACACACACACACGCATCTCACAGGTTGAAGGTCTATCATTATCTCCAATTATCAGTCACTTAGACCGTAAAGTAATATAAACCCGTTTGGTTTTTCTGCAGACCAATATTCTCAAACAAAGGCATCCAGCAATAAGGAGTGTGCCTTTTATGGTGCACTTCTAGGGAGAGACGAAATATTTAGCAACCAGAGGAATTCTGGCATTAAAATGTCAAACTTACTGTTGCTCTGTGTTGTATTATGCGGCATTTTTTTCCCCCTTTGCACTCCTGCCCCAGCGTGGGACTCGGGGGGGACTTCGGGGCAACATTCTGTCTTCAACGGGTCTCCCAGAAAGAAACTGCTGCTCATCTCCTTCGATGGTTTCCGCTGGGATTATGACCGGGATATTGAAACTCCCAACCTGGATAAAATGGCGAGGGATGGCGTTAAGGCGCTGTATGTCACGCCGCCTTTCCTCACTATAACTAGCCCTGCTCATTTCTCACTTCTTACAGGTAATTGTTTTGAACTACACAGGGGTATGAATACAATGCATCTTTATATCAACGCTTTGCCTTGTGCAGTTGTTCTTTCTTTACGTTCGGAAATAGAATAAGAAAATATTGCAGATCATTTGCAGTGTGGGTTGAACACTTTTTAGTGCAACAAAAGAAAATAAAAAGACTGATGGCTCAAAGGATTATGATGCTTGTTGTGTATTTTTCTTCCCCTTTCCTACTCAGGAAATTATGTGGAGAATCACGGAGTGATTCACAACATTTGGTTCAACACGACCACTCAGGAGAAGAAGCAATACCATGCAGCTCAGTTTGTTGATTCTTACTGGGACAATGGCAGCTTGCCCATCTGGATAACAGCACAGAGACAGGTTTATTCCAATCGTTTTCTCTTTGTTTACATGGCGGAAGATTTGCATGTTTCTCTTATTAATCTCACTCTTTGTTTTCTTGGGACACAATAGAAATACTTTTGAGGCAAATTTCAGCCTTGTAAGGCTTCCTTTTGTTCTTGCAAATGAGCAGTTTGCATATTATGGCCTTTGTATTTTTTTATTTTTTGGGGGTTGTCATGTTGATGACACTGTAAAATTTAGATTGTGCAGGTAAAACCCAATTCTAAAACATAGAGCAGACCTTCGGAGCTATTTCTCCATCCATACTGCTTATCTTCATGAAGTGCTTGAGTGGAAGAAAACGGGAGAAAACCCACACAAGCAGGGAAGGCCAGAGTTCAGATTGGAACCCACAACTTCTGACTTGTGAGGCGGATATGCTAACGATTCTGATACCGACACATCAAGGCAACATTGCACACGTCTTCTTTCACAGCAAATAAAGATTTTCTCTCATTCTCTTACTTAATCTCCAAAAAATGGGGGTGTTATGTTCCTCCATGCCTTGGTTGTTCCAGCATCCATGCATGTCGGATCATGTATATATTTTTTCCTGTGTCCATGTGTTTTATTTTCTTTTAGGGACTAAAAACAGGCTCCCTGCATTTCCCTGGCACAGCTGCAACGTACAAAGGAGAAACCGTGAACGTGAGGCAGGTGGAGCCTGCTATCTATAACCACGGAAATGAGACAGAGTGGCGACTGAACATCGACAAGGTGATTGGAGAGTGGTTCCACCAACAGGATCTGGACTTTGTCTCCTTGTATTTTGGGGAACCAGATTTGGTCGGACACAAATTTGGACCGGATTCGCTAGAACTCCGGGAGATGGTGCAGCAAGTGGATCGTACCGTGGGCTACATCCGGGACAAGATCCATGACCACGCTCTAACTGACCGACTCAACATCATCATCACTGCTGACCACGGGATGGCTAAAATACTACCAGATAAACAAATACAGAGGATCATCTTGTCAAAGATCCCAGGCTTTAGCTTCAAGGATATTCAGTTTCAACTTCTGGATTACGGCCCCGGTGGCATGTTACTTCCCAAAAAAGGAAAATTAGAATCAGTCTATCAAGCTCTGAAGGGAGGCCACCCTCACCTTCATGTGTATAAAAAAGAGGATGTGCCGGCTCGACTGCATTACAGCTCACATCCGCGACTCCTTCCCATCATCCTCATGGCCGACCCTGGATATGTAATAAGTGGGGTAAGAAACAACACAGTGCACATGCTTTGGAATTTATAAGCTTCATGCATTTGTGAATTTTGACCGAGCAACTGTCTGCCAATCATAACTTGCAAATTTGTATCACAAGCTAGAAATCAAGCAATTACCACAGACATCCTGCATAATGTCAGAGAATGTAATCATTACTGGCTCGAAAACAAAAAGAAATTGACACAATAGCATTAGAGGGGATGATTGCTTCTCAACATCCTCGCAATGACCACAGATTTTTTTTTTCTCGAATCAGCTTTATTGAATCAAGTAAAGGTGCGACGTAATCATGTTTCTCATCAGACATCTCATTTCCCTCTAGTTTTTTCCATTGCAGTTCAACAAAGGCGATCACGGCTTTGACAATGAAGCCATGGATATGAAAGCCTTCTTCAGGGCCGTGGGGCCTGATTTTCAGAAAAACCTCATGGTTGATCCATTTGACCTGGTTAACGTATACCCACTCATGTGCCATCTGCTTGGAATCAAACCAGAGCGCAACGACGGACACTTGGACAAAACCAAACACATGTTGGTCCACAACGGGAACGCAGGAAGTGATCATGATGGTAGGTACTGCTGATTTTCGAACACCAGTTCGTTTGAAACTTGCAAATTGATGTACCATCAAACTATTAGGACACTATAAGACTAAACTAAAACGCATCAGATCTACTTTTTCAAGCAGTGTGATGTTGACACGTTACGTTCAATGACATCAGAATTTTTATTTATTTTTTGTCTGTGGGATTGGTTTAAGAAAATCGTTTCAATCGTTGCAGGAATCCAACTAAATACTTTCCCCCCCTTGCAATTGCATCAGTATAAATTAAACGGGACTCTACTTTCATTACTAACGTGAGTTTACATGACCGATGTCATGATACGTAATCTAGTATGATTTGGCATCATACTTGGAACATGAGATGACACCACGTGGTGTTTCGAAACAGAACAGTTGTCATCAGTCTGATGTCATATGACTTCAAAGAGCAGCTGTAAAGCCACATCTTATCACCATAGCGAAAGGTTGTGTTCTCTCTACATTTCTGCAATTGCACTTACGTCACTCTTTACTGTCCTTCCAGCTGACAAGAACAACACTCAAATGGAGGTCCTGATCGGCTTGGCGACGGTGATTGGACTGCTCGCCCTTGTGTTCATCGTCATGGTTTCCTACAACAAGTGCAAAAGGTCAAAAGCCTGAAGTGGTCTGCAAGTTTCCACATCCCATTTTTTTGGCAGAGGAACTCATGCAGTTGCCTGAACACTCGCGGGCACGGTGTGGTCTTCCAAGCTTCAACAAAAGGGTCATGTCAGGATTCCGTGTGAAAGAAGTTTCTCTTCTCTTCTTTCCAAATCAATGAAAAAAAAACTGCAGTATTTACTATTTAATGACTTACTGTATATCGCCTTTAACCAAATAAGAACACAATAATTCTGCTACATGTATTGAACACTGGGAGGTTGTTGTTGTTGTTTTTTTTTTAAATGTTCACCGAAGCTAAAGCTTTGTATTTAGCTGCTGTATATTGGTGACAGAAATGTCCCCAGCACATTATTTGCATCCAAGTCCGTGTTCTAGTCCATGTACTTGAGTCACTTAATTTTGAGTAACTTCCAGTACAAAAAAATTGATACCTCAGAAATGCATTAAAAAAAGAGCCCATCCATGTCTCAGTTGTCTCTATTTTTGTTGACTTGAATAAAATACCAACATTATTGAATTGCCTTTTCTTTTTCCACAACACAATAATGGGGGGAAAAAAATTGATCAGTGGCTTATTTAACTGATGCGAGAACACCAATTGATGGTGAACTTACTTTTGAAACTTGCTGTCATTGGAATGTACACTGAAAATGATTTTTAGATGTTGATAGATGACAATGTTGGCTAATGATGACCTACTGAGGGCGGGGCTCCAGTTCGGGTATGTGATTCAAAACACCTGTAAGTGTCGTTTTGACCACTAGGGGGCATTGATATGTTAGGAAAATGGTCCCCCCCCCTTGACAACTTAGCTCTTAGGATCATTGGGACACAGACTCCTCCACCATGGTAAGTTGACAGCTCGGGGGAGGTGGTCATATTGTTCAAGGAAATTAGAAATGACTGCGCAACACTTGCATTACAAGAAGGCCTGTTTTGCATCACAGCATCAGTCAGTCCTCTTTCCAGGAGAGTTAACAATCTGAAAGGATCATTGTTCTTTTGTTCTTCCTTTGCTGAACAGGATCTCATAAATATGAGAATAAATGAAAAAAAAACTATCCAGTTGATGATGCTAAATATATATGGGTATCAGCTGCCAGCAAACCAGATGGGTGTAAAAACATATACCAACCCGTGCTCGTTTTGGAAGGCGCCTCGTCTCCACAGTGACTGAAGACAAAAAAAGAGGCCCTCACACAGCTGGTCTCTGGCAACCAAGAGGGAAGTGTGTGTGTGTGTGTGTGTGTGTGTGTGTGTGTGTGTGTGTGTGTGTGTGTGTGTGTGTGTGTGTGTGTGAATGAGCACTCAGATGTACACAGAGGACAGAGGGTGAGGGGGAGTGAGCGCAGCAGTGAAAGAGTCACTTTGGGATGAAGTGTGGGAGAAAAAGGGGGGAGAGGCTTGAGAGAAAAAAGGAGGAGAGAAAAGGCTGAAAAAAAAGTGCGAGGAAGCACACACAACACAGAACGAAAAGTTCATGCAATCCTACAGCAAAAGACTGGTGACCTTTTAAAAGGCTCAAATAACTTGCAGACACCCGGCTATCGTCTCGAGCTAAATTCAGGAAAGCTAATTTGATCAACGGCTGGAAAGACGAAGACGAGGGGGAGGTGAAGCGCTGAAGAAGAGGTCTGCAAAACATTGAGGGTCAAATTTATGTGCCATATTTAGGAGGACTGGAACAAGCTACCTACTGAGGTAAACATGCGCTTCTTAATTTGCATTTAGCAACATAGAAAAGTGCTATGTAAGTGACAGCCCATATAACATCTACAATAAATGCACTGTCTTCGCTTCGATCAGCATAAGTGACAACTGACTTTGTTTACATGTCAAGATGAATGGAAAAATACGTGGAAAAATACAATGTTTCTTAATTAACCCTAAATGGCACACATATCATATGCAGCCCCTTAACCCTTTAAGGTTACGACAGTGGACAGTTTATCATGTCATCGGGTTACAGGGTGCATGAAAGGGTTATGAAGCACAGTCTTGTCAATAAATTTATATTTATAAATTATATTTACGATAAATTATTATATATATTATATTATAAATTATATATATATAAATTATATATATA